TTGTTGTAATTCTTCAAGTGCTGCTATAGGTTTCCCAGCTACCTCATCAAAAATTGGTCCTTGTGCAGCCACTGCTGTGTCATCCATGTAGATGAATAGACACGTGTTGAGGATCTGATTGGTCATTTGTATATACATTATACAATGTACACAATACACTTCCTTGTGGCCTGTTCTTCTGCATTCTCCATCTACTGTTCTTACCATTCAGTGTCACATAGAATCTCTGGTTCTGGAGGAAACTGCCAGTGACCCTGGCAAGCTTATTATCTCTGGTAATATTATATGATTTAGTTGGCAATATCCTATGATTAAAAGAGTCAAATGCTGCAGTTAAGTCAATGAAAGCCACTCCAGTAATTTCAATAGCTTTCTTTTGAAACCATCCTCAACATATTGCATAAAGTTTAGAATTTGACCACAACATGATCTTCCCAGTCTAAAAGCTGCTTGTTGCCTTGTGATCTTTTCATCAGTAAATTTTGAAATATGGTTGAGAATCATCGATTCCAGTGCCTTGTAGAGATGACAGAGGAGTGATACTGATTGATAATTTTTCAGATCATCTGGGTCTATTCCAGGTTTCAATAAGACAGCAACTCCAGTCTGCCTCTACAATTTCAGGATCTTAAACTTGGCTATACAGTTGTTCATCAATTGCAGGAGTCACTCCAGAGTAAGAAACCAAACTGTTTTATCTGTTATGTTCTTATATCAACATCACCTGCTACTTTATTCAATTTCATATTATTTATAGCTTCCTCCAATTTGGATACCATAAAAGGGGTATTTAATAGGCCCTTCCCTTGTTCCTTTATTTGTGCAGCTTGTTCCTGGACCTTCTTACCTTGCATTTTTCAGTGTGAATAGTTGCTTAGGCTGCACTATCTCATGTGCCACTTTCCCAGGTTCTAGGATTTTTAAAAGATGTTAATCTCTAAGGCTCACCAATTCCAGAGGCATGATTGGTGGAAATCTGAGAAAGGAACTTCACAAAGATTATTCTGATTGTAGATCTTTAAATTCCCCACAAAGGAAGAGCAAAGTTATCTCTGTGTGTTCTAATTATTACTGAGACAGCTCTGTTGTAGAGAAATGTACTTGGTGCCTTTCATTTTCATTATTTTGTATTTATTTACAAATCTATTTTTATTTTTATAACATAACGTTTGTCTGAGTTACTGGACTCAAATCTCACTTTAACATGATTTTCCATCTGACCATACTTCTCACTAGAAGGCAATGTCATTTTGTTGGAATGACTTTGTCTCTCACTTGTTAATTGGACAGCTGGTTATTAGCTGGGTGGCTGTAGGAGAGCATTTTCTATTTGACTAATCAGCTCTCTCACTATACCAAGCAAGTGCTGACCAGGATTGTTTGGAATACATGTTGAGCGCTACGCTTGTATTCAAGACAAGCCCATCAGAGAACTAATTGTCAGGTGATTGCCAAAATGTTGGAATAGCTTTAGTAAACTGAAGGAGTTATTCTCCAGCTCCACAAAATGAATAGATTAAGTCATTGTGAAGTGATGATAAGTGCTGGATTAATTCTACTCCTATATTTCTCCTGACAGCACCATCAACAGGAAGGAAGGAAGGAAGGAAGGAAGGAAGGAAGGAAGGAAGGAAGGAAGGAAGGAAGGAAGGGAGGGAGGGAGGGAGGGAGGAGATGGGAATGAGAAAGGGAGGGAAGGAAGGAGGGAAGGAGGGAAACAAGAAGGAAGGGAGGGAGGGAGGGAGGGAGGGAGGAAGGAAGGAAGGAAGGAAGGTTTTCAATGCTCACTGTCAGCTTCTCACAAAAAATTCAATAGAAAAGCTGACAGGAAGATGGAAGTTATTCCTGCACACCACTGATTGATTGATTGATTGATTGATTGATTTTTGCTTGCCCATGGATGTTCTGTTTTCAATGAGTCACAAGTTATTTTTTGAAGTAAAACTGCATTACAAATATAAACTCCTGTTTATGAACCTGCAATTAGGAAGCATAGGAAATCATGCTATTGTCTAGTCAGAGCTATTTCTCTTTCATTGTTGCAATGTCTCCTTTTAGCTGCATCACTATCAACCAGCTGAACAATTAATGTATTGATAGAACTATCGTGGTTCAAATGGAGACAACCTAAAAAGCACCCAAAGGAACATTTGTGGAAATAGCAGATAATGTTATACAAATATCCAAGCCCCACATTCCAACATAGGGAGTGCAGGAGGAAGTGGGATTCCTTCAAAAACTACCCAGAAGTTTCAATTGGTACAAAATTTGCTGGGGCAAACACTCTTTGGAAGCTGTCAGTGATTACATGTTACAGCTATTTTGTAGGCCCTATATTAACTTAACAGTGCAATTTAAAGTGCTGTTTTTAATCTACACAGCCCTTAATGGATGGGCCCTGAGTTAACTATTGGATGTGGAAGGACCAGATCTATCCACTGGAGTTGGCCTGAATAATCATGCTGGGAGAAGAAGCTGATTATCTCCTATTTTTGGGAGATCTAAGTGTGGAGGTTCTGTTTTTCCATAATGGATCCAGCTCTCTGGGATCACCTCTTGTTGGAGGTTGATTGGCTTTAATATTAACTACCTTCTGGAAGAAGCTGAAAATAGACTTTTTCTGGAGGCCATTTGATTCCAATTATAGTTGAGGTATTCCTAAACATTGTATGTTTTTAAAAAATCATTACAGTATCTGTTTGTTTTGTAATCTGGCAGTATATACTTTTCATAAATATAGTAATAGTTTATTAGAGCAGCAGATGCATCAGAAGTAAGAGAAAATACCCATTCCACTCACACAGAGCAAAGCAGATGGCACTGCCCATATCAGCAAGGGGTAGCAGTGGGGATAGGGAAGAAAAATTAATATTCAGAACCTGCCCAAATTACTATTTAGATTGATCATCTGGCCACTGCTGGGGAATGGAAGGTTAGCTGGACTGGAATCTCTTAAGCCAGCCAGTTTCACTTTCATCTTAAAGCTGAAAAATATCTTTGACTGACTTTCTGTATCGCCAAAAAGCACAAAGAGGATAAAAAAAGTTGGAATGCCAGGAGTTAGCTGTCAAAAGTGAAGCATCAAAAGACACCACTTGACTATATAAATTAGGAATTTTATTATAACAAGCCAGCACAAAAAGGAGAGTACTGTTCATTAACTATTTCTTCCCAACCATGTAAAACCATAATAATAAAATAAGAGAATAATGCTTCTTCGTGACATCTAGGATCTGTTTCCTAAGGCAGCTACCCCATTTTGCCTAAGAGGACGGCCATCCGAATGGCTTCCTTCCTTCCACAGCAGCAATTATCTCAAAGCAAAGTTAGAAAGCAGAAAATTAGATCATCTTTGATAATATGTGACTCAAACTGAAGTTGACACCAAGATATTATTAACTTTTAGTCTACATTTTTTTTAAACAGTTGCATATGCTTTAGACAAAAAATACGGATTTAGACTGCATTTTATTTTACTATTTTGGGTTTTTACCAGAATTATTTTCCAGTTAAATAAAAACTAAAGATGGGCTACTTCTTCAAAATCCTTCTGTTCAACTATTCAACTATTGAACAAGATACTTCCTGTGCCATACCAGGAATATGAAGCCCTATTTTTCCCATGAAGCCCATGTGTAGCCCAAAGTTCATTCATTTATGAGACCTAAGTCATGAGACATGTCCTGTGTCAATGTTAGTAGATAAAAAATAGCAGATTTGAACCCCCCCTTTCATTAGCATTTGTCCCAGCCTTAATATTCTTTCTCCATGTATTCTTCTTCATCCCAAATAAAACATTTGACAAACAAAAAGTTTACCCTAAGTAAAATTGGGTTCAGCTAAACTCCCGTACAGTATTCCCTGTATGAGAAAGTCCCTAACTTCTCAGATCTTACTTCACCAGCTGAATCAAATGGAAAACAGGCAATGATGCAGCTCCTTTTTTGCTACTACTCAGCTGTTTTCCCTATATTTAAACATTTATGTTAAAAGAAATTATTTTAAAAATGATGATACTGATCACAATAGCACTTAGATTTATATACCTCTTCACAGTGCTTTACAGCCGTCCCTAAACAGTTTACAGAGTCACCATATTGCCCCCCAACAATCTGTGTCCTCATTTTAGCAACCTCGGAAGAGTGGAAGGTTAAGTCAACCTTGAGCTGGTGAGAATTGAACCTCTGGCAATCAACAGTATTAGCCTGCAATACTGCTTTCTAACTACTGTGCATTCTAATCACTATTTATTGCAATGATATGCACAAGAATTCCATACATTTATCAATTTTATAGGTGGTTTTCTACTTGAAAACTATTCTATTTTTCCTATTTCAAGTCTCCTTGAAATACAATAAAATTTTGGTTATATACAGTGATGTCTTATTGAATTATCAAGACATAACCTTGCAATCGTAACTTTTTCAGTTAATTAACCAGCATACATAACTAGGATATTATACTCCCCATTGCCATATATCTCACTTTGGAGGATACATCATTAATACAGAGGGTTTTTTTTCCTTCCGGAACCATCCCACCATACGTCTGAAGAGTTATTTACAGTCTGAACTCTACTCACCTGTTTCTGCACAAAGGAAGAGGAAAAAGAGGAGAAAAAAGACCTTATTCATTAGTTAGCCTGAAAGTCTGTGGGACAATGCAAATTAGGGCTATTGGACCACTGTTGAAGACTGCAGTGTGTTTCTTGAAGTAAATGAGTTAGAAATAAGGACCTTGGACCCCTGGAAAATGAAAGGGGAAGGCTGATCATTTTATAACTGAACCATAACATTTCTTCCTTCCGTCATAGAGACTATGAGTATATGAAAGGCAATAAAGCTTACCTGGAACTTTGCCAGTCAATGTAGATGAGAAGAAAAGAGTTTCAGGCTGACTTCCTGGATATGTTTGATAGTTCTTCCCATTGGGTCACAAATCAATATAGTACAAGAAAAACACAAGCATACACCTACATCTACATAACACACACACATTACCTTTCATATCCTGATAAACCAAGTCCACAGCAGCTACAACTTTAATCTTAACTACAGGTTGGTTTTGTTCTAATCTTGAGCATGATGATTGTTTCCATCTAATTTCTTCCATATGGAATGTGGCACTCTTGACTTGATAAGATTCCTGTAAAGTTTAAAGCAATGAAAAGTCTAAATCTAAAAAAAATAAAACAATGCTTTAAACACATGTTTAAAAGGCATCTATTAAAGCATGTACAGTACTCTTTCCAGTTTTATCTATGATTATTAGATTTACTATTCACTATTTACTTTTCAACAATATGGATTTGTTCATTTTCTAGGTGGATTGGCCTTACTAGCAATGCAATCTAAAATACCCCTGCTTTGTTAACAGTCAAGTCGCTGTTTCTGGAAGGCAGAAACATTTATCCCTTACATGCACTTTTAAAGTAACCTCAAGGTATGTTTTCTGTCTCTATTTCCTAGGTACATTTTTCCATTTATGTCACCTCCTGTTCATCTGAAGTAGCATGTTTCAGATTGATATAGTTTAACCCTAGCAGTTCAATAGCTACCTTGTAGGGGTTACTTTACAGCCTCCTTTTGTAAGAGTGCTGTACTGTAATAGCACAGAGACTGTGACGCTTGTTATGGATGGCTTGTCTGAGTTTTTGTAATGTTTCACAGTAGACTTGGTGGTGCCATAGAAAATCCCACCAAATGTGAAGATGCCAAAGGAGTACTGCTAGTGAAGTTCATGGAGCATGGTTCAACCATCAGTTCAGAAATCTACTGTGAAATATTAAAAAAACTCAGACAAGCCATCCATAACAAGTGTCAGGTTGACTTTCCATGTGGTGTTGGTTCATGATAATGCTTGCCTGCACACACTAGACGCATCCAAGAACTTTTGAAGCAGTTCCGTTGGGATGTTTTTAATCACACACTCCCATAGCCCAGATTTAGCACCAAGTGACTACTACTAAGGATTTTCAAACCTTGTAAGACATTATGACAAGTGCCTCAATTTGATTGGCGATTATGTTGAAAAGTAATGTAATGTTGTAGTTTTCTAATGTGTATAATAAAAGTTCTGTATCTGCAAGTGTCTGTCATTGATAACCAAATGGAGGTTTATTTCTGAATTGCCCTGTTATATGTTTTTCACACTCAAATCAGAAAAAGCAGTATGGGTTCCTTCCTTGTTTGCTTCTTTCCCAAGTACAGGGTATCTTTTTTCATCATTTCCAAACAAAATTAAATTGTAGACAGTTTTTTATTTACCTTTCACATGCCAGCTCCATCAGTCCCCACTCAAAATGATGGTTTTCCTTCCTTTTCCTATGAAACCAAAAATCATAACAGGGTAAAAATAAAAGACCACTGTACAAACCAATGTTCTAAACAGATGTGCACAGCAAGGCAGATGGCTTTGCTGTCACATAGGATTTATTCTTATATGGAAAAAAATGAAATAAAACAAATGCACTTATCTCAGAGTTCATTCTCCCCACTTTAATTATTCATATCTACAATAGGAGAATGAGAAACTTGGTCAAGGCCACACAAAAAATCAGGACAAAGAATGAATTCAACTCTCTGGAACAATGAGAATCTGCTGCATTTACATCAGCCAATGATGTAGACCCAGTCTGGAATGGATGGGTGGCAGGGACTTTGGATCATATTAATCCTTTGTGACCTCTTCTTGCACAACAATCCTAGGCTCCGCCATTATTTACTATGTAACACTGGGAAAGGAAGCACAAGAAGACACAACTAGAGAATTGTTGCAGACTTATCCTAAGATTGGAGGTCTTCTAATCCAATCCCCTGTCCAGTGTAATAATTCTCATAGTATCCAAGACAAATGGTTGCCCAATCTTTCCTTGAAAATGATGGACCACCTCTGATTTTTGGAGACAAACTGTTCCACTGCTTAATATAGTGTCTCCCAGTCTTGGCAATCTTAAGATGAATGGACTTGAACTCCCAGAATTCCCCAGCCTGGAATACTGGTCGGGGAATTCTGGGACTTGAATTCCACCCATCTTAAAATTGCCAAGGTTGAGGAATACAGGCTTAATATATCTCAGTCAGAAAGGTCAGAGTCAGGGAATTAATTTGAATCAGTGTGTCAGGGCCCACTTCAAAATCTCATCCTAAGAAATCAGAACTCATGGAAGCAGTTTCTTCCAAAAGGAACTTTCATTAGGAGAAGCTGATAGCAAGCATAATAGACAGATCTGAGGGTTTCCTGCTCAGATCAATAGGTTAAAAGAGTCCCAAGCAAACCCCACCCCAATAGTTCATCTGGTCAGTTCAAATGGGCTAATCCCCAGGTGTTAAGTCCATGGTGGGGAAGAGCTGATAATGCCAATCTGTCTCAGGCTTGTAGCAGTGTTTGTTGGGTCTTTGCACTTCCCTTCCAAAACAGGAGATAAGCCAGATGCTCGGAGGTGCATTCCTTTCTCCCCCCTTCAAGCTGACATCCAGGGGAAGGTAGTTCAAAGAGCATGTATGCAGAGACAGCGAAAGAGTTACATTATAGCGACAGAGAAAACAAAGAGGCAGCCCGTAGCATCTTCCCCCCTCCCTTCCAGGAGCATGGCAGAACCCAGAGGAATACAAAGAATAGAATTAGAAAGAGCCCTTAATCAATATGGGTTCTGACACAGTGACTCCTGAGAGGAGGACAGGATTTTCCAAACTGCAGCTTTGTCTGCCAGCTTTTAGACTCAGGCCCTTCCTCAGTTGTTAAGGTTACCCATGAGATGACCTGTCAGTGGGTTCATGGAGTAGTATTAACTTCCTTTGGAGAGGCTTGATTTCTTTGGCCTTGAAAATGGCAGTGGTTGCCCTATCCTCAAGAAGCCATCCCTGAACCTGTTGATTTTGGAAGCCATCCCTGAACTTGACCATCAATCTATCTCCAACCTTCCTCTTTAGATTGTTGAGAAAATGGTCAAATATCAGTTTCAGAGGATCCTAAGGAAACTGATCATTTGGACCCATTTCAGTCAGGATTCATGCAGGATTCAGTATAGAGATTGTATTAGTCATACTTGATGACCTTGGGTGGAACCAGAGGTTTGTCCATACTTACGCTGTTTTATCTCTCAGTGGCTTCTGATACCATTGATCACTGAATCCTTTTGGACCAGTGCAGGGTTTGGGAGTGGGGGACATTGTGTTATGATAGGTTTTCTCCTTTTTTGATGGACATTTCCAGTCAGTATTGATGAAGTGATAAAGGAGAAGTTGTCCCTTCAACTGCATGGCACTGTAGGGTGCCACACTTTATCCCCTCCTATTTAACACCTACATGAAATTGCTAGGAGAAGTCATCTATCAATTTGGGACTGGTGTCATCAATATGCAGATGATACTCAACTGTACATCTTGATCCTATGCCAGCCAAATGATGCCATCAACATTCTGCCTCAGTGTCTGAAAGCTATGCAGATCTGGATGGGGAGTGTTGGGTATGCCTCAGGGTGCCCATGTGTCACCATTGTTCAATCAGTTACATTGGTTACCTGTGAGCTTCCAGTCACAATTCAAGGTGCTGATTATCACGTATAAAATCCTTGTTTATCATCCATAGTTTCTATGTGTCTAATAAGATTGGGCAGAAGTGGTATGCTTCAGCCATGTCAATAAAATAGTGCCTCCTTTGCATGGCACCTGACTTTGGAATGATTTCTCCCTCTACCAAAGATCCATTTGCATTTGATCCCACCTTGGTGTTCTTCCAGGACTCTTTAAAAATTGGTTGTTCTCCCAGACTTTGAGGTACTGAGCTTATTGTTTACATTTTCTGTTATAGGGATATGTTTGTATAAACTGCGTAGAGTTGTTTTAGACTTGAGCAGCCTCTAAATCTTATAAATAAAATAAATACTCTGGATCATGCATGCTTTTGATAAGGGTCAAAGGATTTAGATCTGAAAACTAGTCAACCATCTGTACCTTGAAGATTGAGCTCATGTCATGTCATGCATGGATGAGAACTTTGGATAAAAATTCAGGAAGATTGCCTTGCTTATCTTCAGAAACAGCAATAAAAACTGTATACTCTGAACCCTAATTTCTACACCTCAGATACAGTACTATATTTAGCTCTGTACTACATTTCAAGTTGCGTCATAAAATATAATGATAACGATTAGCTGATAAACAAAGTGAGGTTGCTGGTAAATAGGGTGTGCCTAGTGAACACACACTATTAGGCACCATGTCTGATCTGCAGGAGACATTCCTAGATACATCTGCTTTTTCAGTGTGAAACAACAGTTGTTGCTTTTTGCCTCTCTTTGCTCTCTCTGGAGAACAGTTCTGAAACTCATAATACTTAGATATTCAATAGGAGAAGAAATAGTGTTCTCGCCATAACATTTTCTTTGAACTTTGGTTACCATATTCTTAGATGCACATTATAAAAATTGCTATGATGACTAAGGTAGTTAATTGATAACTAATAATAGTAATAATAGTAACAGTCGGGCTGGAAATTCTGTAAGTTATCCCAAAATATTTGAACGTTTCTGTGTTAGGAAGGCTGCCTTAGAGCAACTACATATGGTTTTTAGTTGCAGGAGAAAATTCAGGAGGACAATTCTGAAGTCATGACAGGTAATCAGTCTAATCCTGTTTGTTTTAAATATCTGCTGTCATAACCTCCTGTTATTTACTACACTGTAGTGTGGAAAGAAAAGGAAAAATAAGATACACTAATAATTAAGAGAACTGTCTGTAATAGAGTGTGTGACAAAATGTAAAATAAGGCCACAAAAAAGTTAGAACCATCAAAAAACTGCTCAAATTGTATCAGCCCTTTGAGGTAGCAAGACTAAAAAAACCACAAGGCGATATAAGTCAGCACTAACAATTATAATAACAGAATCTTGCAAGTCCAAATGTGTTTCCCTTCTCCTTTTCCTTTATTTCTGTATGAATAGGGATGGGTCTATCTGGATGTTTTCTCGGACAGGATCAAGCCCCGTTTATTTAACCATTGCCTTGGTAGTGGCGCTTCCTCCTGTCTTGGAGCCTGTCCAGGTTGCCATTAACAAAAAGCAAGAGAGGCCTATTCCTATCTTATTAGATATATCATACAACTGAGAACAGAAAAATAACCTCCTTAGGGTAGAAAAACTGATCCTGAAATACAACAAGACTGAATTATTAGTCAATTATTAGTCAATTTTTCACTCTCCATGTCTTTAAAACTTTTTTTTAATAAATAATACGTTCTTATTAGAAATGTTAATGCAGAATAAAAACTAATAAGAGCTAATATTTAGAATAAAAAAGAGAAAAAAATTAAGAAAGAAGAAAAAAGTGCAGAAATCAAAGCAAAAAAAAAAAAAAAGCTTCCAGTGATGGAGAAATTCGCTCCATAGTAAGTTTCCATCTGTTACTTCTTGTCCTGCCTCCAGGTGCTTTTGGAGATGGAATGGGAAATTTGGTGTGGCCAACTTGGTGCTGTCAGCTCATCACTGTCAAGTTACCTTTGTTGGCTTATCTCCACATAGTTGGTGCAGAACATACGGCCAACTCATCATGGAGACAACTTGAGACATGCCACAGGAAGGAAAGCAGGGCAGGCTAGTGAGCGAGCGAGTGGGTGGGCAGAGAGCAGAGAGGCACCGGCAGCCAGGAGCTTCCCATTTTTACACACTGCCACTGCTGCTACCATAAGCTCTAAGCCATTCAGAGTTCAGTCTTTATGGTAGTGGCAGTGGTGTTTGGGCCATTTGGTGATGGCAATGGTAAGTGGGGTGGGTGGCAGCAAAGCAGTGGCAACCAGGCGCATCCCATTTTCACCACTTCTGGTAGTGATGAAAATGGAAGTCACCTGAACACCGCCTCCCCATTGCCTGCCTGACCTACTGCTGCTGCTGCCATCTCCAACCTCTTCAGCCCAGAGCTTGGCTCGGGGGCAGGGGGTATGAAAATAGGAAGCCCCCAACTACTGCCACCACTCTGCAATACCACCCACTTGCCTACCTGCACAGCTCTCCCTCCAACTGCCTGCAGAGTGTTGTCCCTATGGTGAGTTGGCTGTCCTCCACTGACTTGGCAGCAGTGAATTTCAGAGATAATTTGATGGTGGTGAGCTGGCAGTGGTGAGCTGGCTACACCAACTGGCCGTGCCAAGTTGTCCCCTTTGGAGAATAGGTTGACTCCCTCCTCTCTGTGACAGTCTCTCAAATATTAGAAGACTGCTATTATGTCACACCTAATCTTTCTTTTCATTAGACTAGATATATTCAGTTCCTGCAAACTTTCATGATATGTTTTAGTCTTCAGCCCTCTAATCATCTTTGTTGCTCTTCTCTGCACTTTTTCCAGAATCTCAACATCTTTTTTGTATCATGGTAACCTAAACTGGATGCAGTATTCCAAGTGTGGCTGTCCGACAGATGAAACTCTTCAAAAGAACTTCGAGGCATTGTTTACCTTAAAGAATCTTTTATAAAATTAATAATAATAAGACTAAAATACTATCCAAAAATATGACTAATTGTGATAAACAGACCTTGGTTAACTTAACAGATTTTGAAGTTGTTGATAAGGTAAAATATTTGGGGGTCATATTATCCGCTTCTAATGTAAAATTGTATAAAAACAATTATGAAAAGTTGTGGATTGGGGTACAGAAGGATTTAAAGAATTGGGATAACTTACAGTTATCTCTTATGGGTAGAATTGCAGTTATTAAAATGAATGTCCTACCAAAATTTCTTTTTTTGTTTCAAATGTTACCTATCTTAAAGAATGAACTTAATTTAAATGAATGGCAGAAAGGTATTAACAAATTTATTTGGGCAGGGAAAAAACCAAGGGTAAAACTTAAAATTATGCAAGATTTTCGTGAGAGAGGTGGACTCAAGGTACCGAATTTGAAACTATATTATGACGCTGTGGTTTTAACATTGATTAGCAATTGGACGAATTTAACAAATGTAGAAATTCTCTATTTGGAGGGTTGGGATTTACTTTTTGGATGGCATGCCTATTTAATTTTTAATAAAAAAGTGGATCGGGTTTTTAAATCTCATATTATAAGGATTTCTTTGCTTAGGGTGTGGAGGAAATATTATAAAAGTGATTTTAAAATACCATTATGGGCTATACCTTGGCATGCGATAGAGGGGATAAAGAGAGGAGTCAATATGGATACGGTTTCCTATACACAACTACTTAGATGGGATGGTCAAAATTGGCAGTTAAAATCTTTGGAAGACTTAGTACATGTAAACATTACTTACTCATGGTTTCAATACAGACAAATAGTGTATAGATGGAAGACGGATCGTAATATGGGTTGGCTTAGAGAAGATGAAAATCTTTTTAAACAAGTAAGGGATCAAAGACCAACTCATATTAAGAGGGTTTATGGGGTTTTAGTTGAAATGGATTCAGAATCTGAATTAATCAAAGATTGTATGATTAAATGGGCACAAAATATTGGTGAACCAATCCCATTGGATACCTGGAGACTTATCTGGGTGAGGAATGTTAAATTCACACAAGCGCAGAATTTAAGAGAGAATTTTTACAAAATGTTTTATAGATGGCATCTTGATCCACAAAAAATGTCTATTATGTACCCTGATCTACAGCCTAAATGTTGGAGATGCGGTTGTTTGGATGCTACTTATTACCATATTTGGTGATCGTGTAAAAATATAAAAGCTTTTTGGATTAAGATATAGTGGAATATCCAAAGAATCTTTAGAAGGAGGGTCAAATTCACCCCACAATTATTTTTATTAGGTATTGTTACTGATTGTGATGCTAAGGAAGTCATATTGATGTTAAATTTGATTACAGCCGCAAGGCTGTTAGTAGGACAATATTGGAAGAAGGAATCTTTGCCTACTTTACAAGAGTGGTTTTATAAAGTTTCTTACTTGGCGGAAATGGCAAAGATTTCGGCTTTCTTAAAGGAGCAATCTCAAGAGAAATTTTTTGTTATATGGAAAAAATGGATAAATTTTATACAACATAATTTGGATATGGAAAAATATCATTTAGCTTTTTCATAGTTTGTATAGATTGTTTTCTCTTTTCTTTTTCCGTCTTTTGTTTTCTTTTCTCTTTCTTTTATTTTTTTCTCTTTCTTTTTTTCTTTTTCTTTCTCTCTCTCTTTCCTTTTTTATTTCTTTTTTAAGTACTTTTTTAATGTTTATGTTATGTATATCTTATTATTAATTATCTCATAAGTTGTAAAAGGTTTTTTAAAATTTTAAATAAGCCTATATTCAGTTCTGGGAAGTTTGGGGAGGGGGGAGGGGGGCGGGTTTGGGAGGGTGAGGGTTGACTTGTAAAACTTTTAAAAATTTTTCAATTAAAAAAAAAAAGAATCTTTTATTGAGAAACAAAGTGTCAGCACTACATAGGTAAAGCCAAAAACTGAATTCCCCTCCCCTTGGCACAAAGTAGTAAAGCCCTCCTCCAATTAACAGTCATAAATCACATTTTCCAATTAGCTTGAAGCATGGGCTTTCTCCCCAGTTCTCCAGCCCACCAAATCTTTATCAACTCTTGGTGCAATAACCTTGGATTCCCACGGCTGAGTTATTATTGTTATGACTAGCTGGACTCTCATCCACATTCCCCCTCCCAGCATCAACGAATTCTAAAAGCGATAGAGAAAAGATGGCTACAATTCCATCTGTTGTCAAAGCAAGAACATCCAATGTTAGCAGCATTGACATCGGCCTTACCAGTGCAATAAAAAGAGGTACTAACACTTCATGTAATCTTGACACAGTCCTTCTGTTGATGTAACCTAGGACTACATAGGCTTTTTTGGCAGCTACAGCACATTGTTAACTCACACTTAAGTGGTTCTCCATTAGGACTCCTAGATCCCTCTCATAGTTACTGTTGTTAATAAGTTACTACTTATTCTAATTTTGTTTTCCTTGTCTAAACCACAATTGAGACTGGAACACAGTTCAACTCCACCTTTTGTACATGTGTTGTCATCACACACACATACAAAGAAGCAGAGCTTTTGACATTTTGTCCCCCTCTTCCATGGATTCCAAGATGTTACTTTGAGGTACTCCATAAAAAGGTCAACCTGCAATTCGCCAAAACTACTCTTGGTGACTTTTCTCCTAGATAAGGGTGGAACCTCTTCATAACAATGTCCCCAGTCTTGAATCTATGGATACAGCCCATAGGATGAGCAATGGTATAAAAAAACCATTGAAATATTTAGCCAACATCACAAACCACATTCTTTGTCCATCTCCAGCAAAGCTCATCTATCAAGCAAATTCTTTGGATTCATTACTAGACCAGAACTCAGACTGAAATATATTTAGAAAATCTGCATGCTGATTAGTCAATTGACTTAATCACTAATACTTTGCCTAAGAAAGGGTGGTCACTATTACACTGAAATTTGGTATTAAGCTAGAAAGCTGTTGCAACCTCGTCAATGGGTTAAAGCTTTTCCTGAACTGGCACAGAGAGGTAGTTGCTTTCAAGGAGAGAGAATCAGATCTTTAGCAATGAAAAAAAAATACAAACACAAAATTCAGCAATCATCACCTTCATTGATTTCAAGCAAATTAGCAAATCAGCAAATCGTACCTCATGCATATCCCCCCCCCCCGAAAGGTTGGCTGAGCCCTAGCATGAAGAAGATGTGGCAGGATGGAAATATTCAGACAAAACTGGATTTTCACCATGCTGCATAATTTTGCATGTCTCGGATCAAACACTTCCATGGGTATTTGTAGAATCTTTACACTTGATGCAAAGTCCAACATGTATCAAGCCATTTACCAGCAATCTCTTTGTTTTCGGATAGAAAGTCTTGTTAATCATTTTTTTAAACAATCATTCCATATATTTCACACCAGCTCTTTCCTCATTGGTTATGTGCAGGTGCAGTTCTGCTAGCCTCTATTCTGGTAATATGGGATTCCTTTGGCCTATTTTATCATAGTCAGCATCATCAGACCAGCTGCAAGAACAACACAAATCATTGCAAATAAACCCTAAGATAGAAACAGTATTCCCATGACACAGGTATTTTTTCCACTATTGTGTGCTACTTAGGTGAACATCTCTTTGGCTCTTTAAAAATGGTAGCCACTTAGCCCTTAGATAACTAGCAATAACAATTTCCTGTCTTAAAGATCTCAGATTTCTGGATCTTCTTACTAGAACATTCTTCCCAATCAGATGGTCCAAGGATCAATGATATGGATCCATATCAGGGATACATTCTCCCTCGTTATTGTACCATTGGCTGTCTTAGGCTTCTTACCTATTTCTGGATTTTTTCTGCTTTGCTCTGATGAGAAAAATAACAAGGATGATAATGATCACAAAGAATAGAGCCAGGGCAAGACTAAGTCCCAGCACACTCTTTTGGATGGATAATTGGCAGTCACTATCCAGGTACCAGAACATGTCCAAATTATTGCAACTGTGGGAAAGAGAAATGAATTGAGAAAGAGAGCTTTCTTTGCAAGATTCTAAGTAACTTCCAGTAGCAAGAATTCATTAAAAACGTTGCATTAAAATAATAAAACAGAAACATTAAAATAGAATAAATTAATATCAATAGGCTTCAGATTACAACTACCAAAGTAACTATAACTGTCACTTTCAGTCAGCTTGTCTTCTTAGATGAAAAAGGATTGAATTCATTTGGTTTTGGAGCACTAGTAAGTGGGGAGCCATCCTAACTCCTTAGAGTGGGAAAAGAGAAATTACCATGCAAAGAAAATTACCTCTGAACTGTGCCAAACCATGCCAAACCATCCAGGCATATATTCTCCAATGAAGTGCACAGAATAGGGAGATTCTGCTTGGAGGAAGCTATTTTATAGAAAGTAAGCAACCAAGTCATAAAAGTATTTATGGTAGCAACTAGTACTTTGAATTATATACAGAAGATACTAAGTATCAAAGCATTTTTTGCAAGATGAGCATGAACTGGGTTGGACATGTAAACAAACATTCTATTGCATTTTAGACTAGCACTACCATAGTACTAGTTTCCAAATAAGGGGCGTGATGGCTCAGCTGTTTAAAGACACTGAGCTGGTTAGCTGGGAAAGCTGACATCCTGGGTTCAAGACCCAAGCTCCAGCCCACCTAAGCAGTAAATGCATGTAGATAAACAGATACCACTTTGGTGGGAAGGTAACAGTGTTCTCTGCACCTAAGGGTATAGTCATGCTTAGGGTTTTTTTTGTCATAGAATACCCAGAATGGAGTTCCGGCACCTTTTTTGGATGGAACCTTGTAGGGTAGGCAAGGCAGGTTGTATGACGTGTGTGAGTTCCAGCACCTTTTTTTTTTTTTAAAAAAAAAAGCACTGGTCATGCTCATCATGATCACAGAAAGGATCTTTGGACAACAATGGCTCCTTTGGCTAAGAAACAGAGATGAGCACCACCCCCTAGAGTCACAAACAATTGGAGGGGGATAACCCTTACCTTTACCTTTAGTTGCCAAATAGACTCCAAGGCAGCCCGATCACATTACTGTGACCCAAACAAGAGATGATGAAGGCATGAGAGACAGTCATTAAAGTATTTTGTTCCAGAATACTGTCTAGTAATTGTGTAATTGTGATGTGCTTTTTAACATTTTTGCCATTGCTAAATAAAATAAATAAATTTAAAATACAGGGAAATTCATGCTCATTTAGTATCTTATTCATTCCTAACCTTTTAGAGTTTGTGCTAGTGTCAGTATTCCAAGAGAGCTCCTTTGAAACATCAACCAAATTATACTAGGCTACTAATTCCCTTTTCATCTTTCATAATCTGATACTCCAAATAAATCATTTTGTCTGTCATAGAATTTTACAGATTTAATACATTGATTGATCAACCCATTGGGATTCCAGTAAGAGTTTTCCTAGCGGTTCTGGAGGGTGGTTTGACTGGGACACTGCCTGGAATAGTTAGATGGCCAGGGTTTTGGACCACATTGTCCTATGCAACCTCTCCCTGTGCACTAATCCAAGAATTTACCTTGGTTTACCTCAAAGCACCTGAAGATGAAGCACCAGTAGAAATATCTGGAGCACTCGAGGAATACTCAAGCTGACTATATTATCTGATCAGATTACTATATTAGGGATTACCTCATGGTGATAAGGGTGACCAAATGTCAATATTTTCCCACCCATATTCCATCCACTGATAATTGTGCAGTGGCCTGGTTAAGGGTCATTTGGTCCGGTTGGGTAGGAATGGCTTTTCAGGACATCTACTGGGCTACTGTGAGAATTATTCAGGCTAAGTGATGAATAATGTCATTCAGATCCACTCCAACATGGATTCTGATTGTGCCAGGCAGGCCAAGGTGCCTGGGGTATGATCCGATGGTATAATCTGTAAGCATCTGAGACCCTGATGAAGTAGACAGGGCCTTCTGTGCTGTTGTTTTGGTCATATGTTTACTGGATCTGGGCCACTGCTGGGTCATAAAAATGGCCAAGGAGGTGACCTTCAGTTGGGTCCATGCTGTGATGTAAGCTATTTTGATAGAGGGAGTGATATATCTCCTGCCTCAAAACAGTGAGGCACCCTTTTCTCTTATTGTATATTTCTTTTTTCTTCTGTTTACTTGTGAATTGCCCAGAGTTACAGAGAGTTAGACAAGATACAAATTTAATAAATAAAGAAACATTTTGATAACAACTATGTTAATAACAGCTTTATATAAAATGTAGGAAAATGTGGGATTCTGCAGGCAGAAAAGTTTAGTGAGATGGGAGAACACCCCTGTGCTGGACCAGTATGTAGTCATCTGGTCAGAGTGTATAGCCAGCTTAGGAAACTGTGTGTAGAGCAAGTAGCATTTAAAGGGTTAAAATGCTGTTTCCCTTAAGGAATAGCCTTCTGGGTAATGTAGTTTATATTACCTAGTTATATCTGTGCTAGGATTGGCCACTAGAGGGTCTTGTGTTTTTATTACCGGATTTCCTGGCTACATGGCAAGGCTGTAAAGTTCCGGATTTCCTGGCTACATGCCAAGGCTGTAAAGTTCTTTTGCCAAGTCAACCAGAGCAGCATGTGAGTTTCATGAAGATGGAGGAAAGTTATTCTCTTTTTATCTGCTTGAATGGAATGAATATGAATCATGTTGATAGATGTATCTACATAACTGTGAATTACTGCTTAGAATTCCTGATCAATAAATATTCTGCATGTTACCATTATGTTGAGTTACTCTATCTGGATTATGGCCAGAGCAACCGCCTACAATCCAGAATAACCCCTGTTAGAACAAATAATTGTTTAAAATTTAATATTTATGTCCTAATGAATCTGGATCTAAGGACTCCCTCAATACTCCTCCTCCCTCTGTCTACTTACATGCAGTGGGGGCCAATTTCAGAAAGACGGCAAATCCCACTGTAGCAGTTCATGGAGTCTTGGGTGCCTTTGAAACATCTCGAGATACAACGTACAGTACCTTCCATTATGTGGGGATAATAGTAGTCTGCATACTTTGGATTACTAATATTTTTACAGGTGTCTGGAAAACAAAAAGAAGCGCTAACCTTCTAATGAAATATGGTCACTATATATAGGTCAAATGAACAAACTGTACTGCAACAAACTATGATCGGATGCAGCAAATTTGCTCAAACATAGCAAGATAATCCTGTTCCCTTACCAACTGCCCCATGTATAATACAAGCGGTTTTGAAAAATATCTTTCTTTGGCAGAAAATAAAAGATATCTGTGCAAGTTGTTATTATGATAGAACTACAGTCTCAGAGAGAGATAATCAAGATTGAAAGAACTGACTTCCGGTTCTGGATCGCAGCGCTCGCAGCTGTGCGATGAGACTGCTCTCTTCACCAGCTGATTCTCCACTGCCGGTAGACCCTTAATTGGGTTAAAAAGCCGCCTTGGAGGGCTGGCTACCGGTGAGGAGGTCCTCGTCATCCTTGGGAGAGTGGCAGCTTCTTCCAAGGACTGAGATTGCTCCTTTGGGCCGACGGTGGAAATACAATATTTACTTAGGTCCAAGTTGTGTTTTAGCAAAAGAATAAAGTCCCCTTTATATTTTCTTTATTCTTGTTTTTCAACCTTGAATTTTCCACTCTGTTTTTCTCAACATTAATGGATTCCCCTCCCCGTTCCCCCCCAGTTCATAAGAAATACTTAATCATTATTGCTTTTTCTTCATCCCCAGCTTATTGTGAGCCAGATTAAACTTATCCTTAGCTGTCCCAATTTTAAAATAGTGTTTTTCTTCTTCTCTTTGGCACAAATTTTATATAGGTAGTATCTGACATACTTCACCAACATGGCCACTTTGATTCCCCCCTGGGATATGAGGCTGAGAATTATCTCCATATTATTTTGCAGGAAACAAACTACTGTAATCTACCTTAAGGATGCTCACTGTCGCTTTTAAAGTTGATTTTTGAAAGCGTGACTGTAACATCCTAGATAAAACTTAATGAGAGGTAAAATGAAACCAAAGAATCAATCCCTTTCCTCAAGCTGTCCTACATTTAACAAAAATGACAGTATGATAGGCAGGCCTCACTACTTTGTCAATGTCAGAACTAGCAATTTATGTTCATATGTTTTTCTGCTGGCTCAAGAATTAGCAACTTATCATAGTTGTCTAGTTACTAGCTAGAGAAGAGAATAAATGACAATATCTGTTAGTGTGACTTGCATCTTCACCTCCTATCACCTCCTATCACTGCTAATGCTACAAGTGGACATATAGGAGCTAGAAAAGACTTCATTGATTGATTGATTGATTGATTCTTCATGGATTTGGTCTGGTGGGCCCGCTTGGCTTGCTAGAGGTTCCCCATCACTGAGTTATGGGACTGACACTACAAGTTAACATAAAGTAATTAGATGAAGTGGATTGACTGGATTGATAGATTGATTGAATCTATATACAGAATACAGAATAGAATAGAGCTGGAAGGGACCTTGGGGGTCTTCTAGTCCCGTCCTATGCTCAAGTAGAAGAACCTATAATATCCCAGACAAGTGACTGTCCAGTCTCTTCTTAAAAACCTCCAGTGATGGAGCACCAACCATTTCTGAAGGCAAGCTGTTCTACTGGTTAATTGTCCTCAATGTTTAGGAAGTTTCTCCTTAATTCCAGGGTGCTTCTCTCTTTGGTCAGTTTTCAATCATTGTTTCTTGTCCTGCCTTCTGGTGCTTTGGAGAATAATTTGATGCCCTCTTCATTTTGGCAGCCCCTCAAATACTGGAATACTGCTATCATGTCACCCCTGTTTCTTCTTTTCTTTAGACTAGCCAAACCCAAGTCCTGCAACTATTCTTCATATGCTTTAGTCTCCTGGACCTTGATGATGTTAGTTGCCTTTCTCTGAACTTTTTCTAAAGTCTCAACATCTTTTTTATAATATGGTGACCAAAATTGGTTGCAATATTCCAGGTATGGTCTTACTAGGGTTTTATAAAGCAGTAAAAATACTTTGTGTGATCTTGATTCTGTTCCTCTGTTTATACAACCCAGGATTGTATTAGCTTTTTTGGCTGCTGCTGCACACTGCTGACTCATAGTCAAGTGATCATCCACTAGGACTCTCACAGTTACTGTTTTTGAGCCAGGTCTTGCCTAATCTGTGCTTGTATCTTTGATTTGTCCTGCCTAACTGTAAAACTTTGCTTTTCTCCACATTAAAATTCATTTTGTTGGATAGGGCTCATTTTTCAAGTTTGTCCAGTTCTTTTTGGATCCTCAGCTTCTCTTCTGGGTGTTGGCTATTCCTGCCAGTTTAGTGTCATCTGCAAATTTGATGAGTTCCCCATCTATTCCCTCATTTAAGTCATTTATGAAGATACTGAAGAGTACTGGGCCTAAGATGGAGCATCAACTATCATCATCAAATATTCCAGGGACTTTCATTTATATATGAAAACGAGCAGTTCAAATATCCATGGTACTATTAGCAGTTACACATTTAAAATATAGATTGAACAATGAAGTAGTTTAAAAATGTAAAACAATGAAATAGTTTAAAAATGTAATCTTGGCACAGCTATCTTTAGCTACCCATCTCTTTACTGAAACTTACCTTTTAATGAAAAACTTGGAATAAGAGTTGAGTTAGGTAAAGGAACAAAGCACAGTTCTGTTCCTGAAAAAAAGGGTATAATTGTATGAATTAATTATCTGGGGTGGTTATATACCTGTGTTTATTTCCTTCCAGATTTTTTTGGCATCAAAAACATTGTGATATTAAATAGGACCCCAGCACCAAAATAATTATCCTTTTGAAGTAATCTGGGTTAGGGTTATGTTAAACATTCATCAGTGTTTAAGTTTAAGATTTTTAAAAATTAATTCAACAAAACTGGAAAATATTAGCTTGTCTATATTTCTAGATCAAGCTGAAACTAAACATGCTGAATGTTATAAAAAAAAGAGAAATATTTCTTCAACTCAGAATTTCTTCAACTCAGGCTAGGACAAACACCATTAGTACTGTTGGTCCTTTTTTCATTCCACACCTCAGTTTTCATTCCTGATGAACCAAGTTCTACAAATCTCTTCTCTGCCCAGCAGCAGTGGATCTGAGCCCCTCCCCTCAGATCTCCCCTCCCCTTCTCTGTCTGTTCTTGGGGCAAAGCCTCCCACACTCACAGCCCTTCCCCCCTCTCAGAAGAAAAGGGAATAAGCACACAAACCTGACAAATGAACCAAAGCTGCATTTGAGCCCTGCATCCTCTGCCCTTTTGCCCTGAAAAACTGAGCAAAATAATAGGCTTCGTGACCCAGATATATAACATCAGTTTTGAAGAAAAGAATCCTCCTCCAATTGAGGGCAAATAGGAAGAAGGACATGTTTGCTGCTCTCTATGTTAGTGGCTATTTTGAAATTTGCAATCCAAATATAGTACCTTGCTCTACCCCCATAATCAAGCTTTGTGGCAAGAGGGAAGCTGTTCGAAAGGAGGTTTGTGCCTGCAGAAAAATGGTGGCTCATCCTCAAAACCCTCTTGTCTAAAAAAAGAAAGACCCAGGAATCTTATTTATTTCTCAGCCAGCAAAAAGCATATCCAAGTGGAAGAGTTTATCCAGCTACACCATACCTGAAGGCTCAATACACTCCCCATCGGTATGGATGCCTGCCAAGGAGTGATTCACTTCCTCTGTAACAGCATTCAAATTCTGCTGGATCGTTTCCTCGTTGTTTTTCATTTCTATTTGGGAGATGACTTTATGTTCTACAATAATGCTGCCATTCCTAAGAGAACAATAAAGGAAGAACAACTCCTCAGGTGATGAACTACCCTTTATCCCTCAGTGAAGGTATGGTGAAGAGTGTACCATAAATTCTGGCGTATAAGACGACTTTCTAAACACTTAAAATCTTCGCAAAAGTGGGGGGTCGTCTTATACGCCGGAAAAATATTTCTCAGCAAGTTTTCTCTCCCCCCCCCCTCTCTCTCACTCAAAAAGAGTCCTAGGGTTATTATTAAAACCAGTCGATCAACTAAAGATATCTCTGAGAGTACGATAGGCATTATCTGGCTGTTGTGACGGTAAGATTTCCTGGAGGTTTAATCCCCATTCTATAATACTACATTGCAAACCGTCTCCTCTCTTCTTCCCTCCCTTTTGCATCCCAATTCCTTGCCCACCCCTCCAGAACTGCGGATTGGTAGTGGCCATCCCCTGATTAATTCATTCAAAGGAAGTAGAAAGGGATGGCCCATGTAATGGGGAAGGGGGGAAAAGAATTGTAGGGTGGTTTTTTTTATATAATGAAAACAAACCTAAGCATCTGCGTCCATTCGAGGCACTTCTCAGTGCTTCTTCATGCAAGCTTTTCAGCGTTTACCTCTCACTGCCGGTGAGAGTAGCTTGGGGGAGGCGGAGCTTATGGGTCTGGAAGGGGAGGGGTGTCAGCTAAATTCCTCTTGGAGTTAAGAAGCAGGAATGGAGTGGGGACAGAAAACAGCTACACAATCCTTTTGCCTGAGCTTATGCAAGCAGTTTCTCCCCCCCCCCCCCGCCGCCTAAATAAACTTGCATGGTGCATTTGTGGTGTTATTTATGACAGATCCTGGCTGGTCAATCTGGCTCCCATCTATAAGTACTGTAGTGCACTGAGTTTCAATAACAATTTATTGAAACAATTTACTGAAACAATTTACTCCCCCCCCCCCATTACCTGAAAAGGGGGCAACTTATCACATTTATGGAAATGCAAGTTTTCGAAGGGCGAATGCCTTTCTTACTTAGTTTATTAACTGCTTCCTTTCCTTCTTCCCTAAACATTCTGGCTGTCTCCAATTTCATTCTTGGTAGTGTTGCTTTAAAAAACTGCTGAGAAGTCCTTTTGCAGGCAGGGCAATTTTCATCAAGGTGTGTGTGCGATTGACAAGGCAGAGCCTTTGACAAACAGGCAGGCTTTCTGCTCACTCAGCTTGGAGAGGCTGTGGAGGATTCGCAGGGTGGAAGACTGAGAGGAGGAGATCCCTGTGTGCAGCCTGCTTGCTCCAAGCCAAAGCTTGCTACTGGGGGGAGGGCAATGGAAGGGACCCAGGGAGTCACACGCATGCCTACATGTGCACGCACACACCCTGAGCTACTCATTTGGACTTACAGGTGGCCAATGAGAACTCAGAAACTGTGCTCCCTTTCCCCCTCCCTCATGGAATTAGCTTGTCCACTTTTTCCCTAGGGCCTATATAGGAGTAGGCAACCTTGGCTCTTTTATGACTCATGGACTTCAACTCCCAGAATTCCTGAGCCAGCATAGCTGGCTCAGGAATTCTGGAAGTTGAAGTCCATGAGTCATAAAAGAGCCAAGGTTGCCTACCCCTGGCCTATAAGATGACAGGAAGGGTTGGGCAGGCAGGGAGAGCTGACCCACCCAATCCAAGCAGGCTTTGTATACAACAACCAGCCAAGGTTCATCGCTTGCTGTGATTGGCTGGTTGTTGTATACTGGGTACATACAGTACAGCACCAGTATCTGTACCAGTTCATACAGTACAGCACCAATACATACAGTACAGTATACAAATGTCCAATAGTCAAGACCCCATCATGGCTCCACCAGCAAGAAGAAAGAAATATGAAGCCAGTTTCAAACTTAAAGTTGTAAACTTTGCCATGGAACATAATAACTGCGCTGCTGCAAGACAATATGGAGTAACAGAAAAGATGGTTCGGGACTGGAAGGCAAATGAAAAAGCATTAAAGAGTATGCCAAGGGGTAAGTGTGCATTAAGAAGAGGCACCCCACATTGGCCAGAACTTGAAAAACATGTAGCAGACATGGTGAATGAGCATCGCCAAAACGGTTATGTAGTGACACGAAATAAAATACGTTTGTTTGCACTTCAGTGGGCCAAATCTAACCCAGATCACAGCAACAGATTTAAGGCCACTGCATCCTGGTGTACTAGATTCTTGGAAAGGCATAATATGGTACTGAGGCAAAAGACGAAAATTGCACAAAAATTACCTGCAGATCTTGATAGCAAAGTAATTAGTTTCCATCAATACATAATACAACAGCGCATTAAACATGGCTATGCATTAAGTAGTATTGGAAATATGGATGAAACTCCAATGAATTTTGATATGGTTGGAAATAAAACTGTCCATCAAAAAGGTGAAAAAACAATTTTAATTAAAACAACAGGACATGAGAAGTCCAGTTTTACAGTGGTACTAGCATGCACAGCTGATGGTGCCAAACTGAGACCAATGATTATTTTTAAAAGAAAAACAATGCCAAAACTCAAGTTCCCTGTTGGTTGTTTTGTACATGTGAATGAAAAAGGCTGGATGGATGAAGAAGGGGTAAAGCTATGGCTTGATAATGTATGGAGCAGGCGACCAGGTGGACTTATTCAAAAATGTAGTCTACTGGTGTGGGATATGTTCAGGGCTCATTTAACTCCCAGCACCAAGCAAAAGCTTGCAAGACTAAACACAGATGCGGCAGTTATTCCTGCAGGATTAACATCGTTAGTAGCCACTGGATATATGCCTAAACAAGCCATTTAAAGATCGCATTCGAGAACAGTGGAATGAATGGATGGTTAGTGGCGAAAAGTCATTCACAAAAGGAGGAAACATGCGTGCTCCACAATTGGATGTTTTGTGCAAGTTTGTCATAAAAGCCTGGAATGATATTGATGCAGAAACAATAATCAAGTCTTTCAAGAAGTGTGGCATATCAAATTCATTAGATGGTATGGAGGACGACTACTTGTGGCAAGATGAAGAGGAAGCCGAAGCTGAGACCACACCATCTGATACGGAATTCGATCCATACGATGACTGCCTTGCAAATGTATCACAAGATGTCATTGATATTTTTATGATATCAGATGATGAACAGGATGATTTTAAAGGCTTTTAAAGGGAAAGTATCATGCCAGCAAAACCTATAAAAATAGCTTGCAGTTATGATGGGCGTTGCTGACTCGCCAGGGACTTGCCCGGCACTTGCTCTCTCTATTGTTTGTTATCTTCCTCCTATCATCATCAGTTCCAGTTTGGTTGACAGCTTAGAAAACAAATAGCATGGCAGCTCCCATGGGTTTATTGTCTTATCCTTCCTTTCAGCTTTAGAGTGAATTAGGAAAAGTTTAATCACTTGCACTGTTTTATGTTTACATGTTTGATGACAAACAGCCTTATGTTTATAAGTGACAGTTTTCCTGCTAAGTACCTTTATGTCATAAGCATTTGAATTAAAATTACCATATTGAAATCAAATCTGATGTTTTTTAATTTTTATTTGGTGTGCGTTGAAAGAGGGGTAGTCTTATACGGCGAGTATAGCCCAAACTCTATATTTTAATTGGAAAAGTTGGGGGTCGTCTTATACGCCCAGTCGTCTTATATGCCGGAATATACGGTAATAGGCCGACCCTTTTCCTCCATCAAACACAAAATGAACTATTATTTCTAGTCCTTTCCACTCCATTTAATCCACACAACTGTCTTAAGAAACAGCTTAGAATAAGAGTTTCAGATAGGCCCAAAGTTACCCTGGAAGCTTCATGACTGAGGGGATTTCAACCTGGACTTTAGTTCAAGTCTAACTGCTTTAACTCTCAAGGTCATCATTGTTGGTGTTCCTCCTCGGAGGTTTCCTGGAACACATGGGGACTGAAAGTATATATCAGACATGCAAAATGCCCAGTCTTCAAATTCTCTAGCCACGCTTGCTTCCTCCCCTGCTCAGGCCCTCATCTATCCACATTGGGGGGAAAGAAATCGGAAGAGGAGATACTTAAACCAAAAAAGAGGGTCCACAATGAGAGAAAAGTTCTATTCATATTCAGGCGAGGCTGACCTGAACAAATGAGAGAAATCCTCTTGATGGCTCATCATCCCAAAGCCTAAATTAGTCTCTTTTTAGACACCCACCTCATTCGCAAGATCTCCACACCACGGTATCCAGGGACAGCACCATAAATATCTTTCATCTATAATGTAGAAAAAGTAGGAAAAAAAAGTCTTCATAAACAAAGAAACCTAGGCCAGGGAAGAGACTTTAATTAGAAGCAAACCACCTAAAGCATTGAATACACGGTCTGTGCTATGCCTTCCCTAATTCTCCAGCTGCAGAAAGCTGAGAGTCCAAGAAGAGAGTTTCTGGCGGGGAAGAAGACACAATGTTGGAATGAATTAGGGGTGCTGGCCTTGGTTAAAGAAGAGTGTAAGATAACATTACATTGAAATGATCTCTGAGTGACATTGATCAGATGTAGTCTGTTTCCTTGAGCCTATAAATCTTACCTGCTTTTTAAACTGAGCCTGAATTTCCTGAGAATATTTAGAGTTTAAGTCTTCCAGAGATTTCTTGTACTCTCTGTTGGTAATCCTCACCTGAGCTTCTACTGTAATGGTCATAGATACTAAAAGAGAGGGAAAGAGATATTCATATGAACCTCAACAAGTTACTTCCTTGTAAAAGAATTCCGAAATGTGACAAGTAAGAGGTGAATGTTTTCCCATTCTTCTTTATTCATCCCAGAATAGGGATATCTTCTCAGCTGTTTATGAGGCCTCTGTAGCCATGGTGGGGTGGTGATGGTGGTGGTGTGAAATATTAGCTCCAAATTAATCATTTTAACTTGGGGCTGGCAAATCTCTGTAAACCACCCTTCCCAGATAGGCAGAACTGTGAACGGAGAGCTATCTATCTACATGTTCCTGGTTTACATGCACTATAAAGGAGCTTCTATTAAGCCACATTTTCCAAACTTAGTTCTTCCATATGTAATCTCCTTGTTTTAGTATGATAATCCAAGATATCTGGAAGGCAAGCAATTTGAAAAAGCTGTCCTAGGCTGTCATCAGGGAAAAAGCAATCAAGTTCTCCCTGACTGTACTTACATTCATTAACTGGTATTTCATCTATGCCAAACTCACACTTGGATCCATAGAATAAATCCTCACTACAGAGGCACTTGATTCCATCATAGGTTCCACCATTGTAGCATAGCTCTGGAACAGAGAAGTTCTCATATAGATTTGGAAACTATAATCTATAAAAAGGCAATTTAAGCAGAAGCATTACTCTTTATTACATGTACAAAAATAAACAACCTAGCAGGTAAAGTGCGCTCACATGTATTCATATGACACCAGTTGTAACTGCTTTTTAAATCTCTAAATTGATATTAGCTAAAAGGAATGATAGGAAAGCAGATCAGCTTTTCAAGCAATGAAGTGAAAAATGAGCTCAGATCAGTTAAGAGGTTTATTTAAAAACAACAGGAAATATTGGTATTGATGTTGATCATGAACAGATGTCTCCATAAGATTTGAGTGGAACTTCTGTATACCATGCATCCTTCCAGGTTT